TTGTCGGTATTAGTTTGATAGATTGAATTCTAGAATTTGATAAATTTTGTCTCGAGTCATATTCAATCTCTCATACTTTTTAATAAAACTTGTTAGCTTGATTAGATTAAAAATTTTAATTATTTTACATATTTTTATTTTTTATTTCTTATAAGATAAGATTCATTATATGAATATATATATATATATATATATATATATATATATATATATATATTAAACTAATTGAGTCAAACAATACTTAACTTAAATCTAATTGATTTATATAGCGAGCTTAATTTTAATTCAAATTTCTGTTCATCAGATTCATGAACAAGTTTAACAAGACAATCGTTAAATCAAGTATATTCGGTTGGATTTATTGTAGGTTCTAGTTTTATATTCTCATTCAATAACAAATTTAGATATACAAGTAGTTTTCTTAAAATTTATATTTTTTATTAGCTTACTTGTGCTAACTGTGTGTAAATATTTTTTAAAAATAATATTTGAAATTTTTTAAGTTGATTGTATAAAAATATTTGATAAAAATAATCATGAATTCGTATATAAACTTAACATGATATTAAGAATATATTATTTATGTGATAAATACATATTTTTTAAATTTAGTTTAATTTTTATTAATTTGACTTTTTTATTCAAATATAAACTATTTAATTAAAATGAACTAAAATAAAGCCACAACAATTGTAATCAATCTTATTATATTCCTAGAACATAACCAAAACAAGTAAAATGGAATATTGTAAAGTGGAGGATTGAAAATTGCATGTTTGTGTTTTGAAACACATCTAAAACAAAAAAAATTGTATTAAAACATGATTCTATTTTTTTTATAATGAATTATATTTTAAAAAATTATTACAAATATTTAAAAAATATTAAATTTGTGTTATTTTAAAAAAATTAAGTATAAAATTTTTTAAGAGACGAGAATATCTTAATATCATATTTAATATATATAAATAAGATTTTATAATTAAAATTTATTATTTATTTTAGAATTTTAATTTATCATAATTTTATTTAAAAAAAATGTTTGGATATAAAAATGAACTCTAATAATTTTATCCGAATTTAAAACTCTCCTATTTCTAGTTCTCATCTTAATGAGTATATATTTTAGAATGTTTATAAATCTTAAGTCAAAATAAAATAAATGATATCTCAAATATAATAATAAATCTTAAAAATATTATTATAAAAGAGATAATGAAATAGATGAGACATAATGACTTAAATATTTTTAAAAATTAAAAATTAAAAAAATTAGAAGTTATATTTTAAAATACAAATTTTTTAAAATAATAAAATTTATTTTCAAACAAGACTTTAATTTAATAAATGTCATATGTGGATTTCATAAGTGACTTCAAATCCACTTTTAGGAAAGAGTACTCTAACATTAAAAGAAAACAATTAATGAAAATGCATAAAATAATAAAATAAAAAATATTTAATTAAAAAAATATGAAAAAAAATACGAAAAATAAATTAAAATATATGAGAAATATATTGAAAACGTACAATTACGTGATCAACCAAAACAGATTGGAATGAGCTATATTTTATTATCTGAGACATGAGGGAGAAAAAAAACGATAAATGCAAATTGAGGTAGTTGAACCACCTCTATTCTTAATTATTATTGTTTTGTACAGATATTTGAATTCTGCCTTGTGGAGCGTGCCCTATATATATTTTTTTCCTCTATAGATATTTTGTAAGAGAAAATTGTGTTATTTTTCTTTTTCAATTTATCTGTCATATTATACAGTCAAATTTATGAATTCCGTATTTAAAAAAAATATTTAAATTTAATATTTTTATATTTGAATTAATATTTAATAGAAGTTATATAATTAATAGAAAAATTTTATATATATATATATATATATATATATATATATATATATGTGTGTGTGTGTGTGTGAGATTTTGGTTTTTCAATTTTAAATGTAATATTAATAACAGTTTTTATTCATCTAAAAATTGAAAAAAATCATAACTTATTTATTTTTTCTAAATTTGAGAATTAATTAATTAAATTTTAATATATAAGAAAAAATAGTAAGTATTAGTATTATATTTGATTTAAGTGACACGTATTAGAAAACACCTTAACATATTTTTAAGTGATTATGGGATCATCCACTAATTTTCAGATTTCATTAATTTATATTTAATCATATAACTAAAACTTATTATTGATATTTTTAAAATGAGGATTATTTTCACCGTACATGATTTTAATAGTTAATTAATTACATCTCATCTTTCATTAATTTATAATAATTATTTTTTTTCTTCTCTTTTGCATTATACTAGAGAAAACATAATCTAATATTTTACGGAATATAAATAAAAAATAAATTAGTAATTTTTTTTGGAAACGATTGAGAAACACTATTTAAATAATTGAAAAAATGAGGATATAGAACGATTTAGAAAAAAAATTAAGAAAAAGAAAAGTATAATGACAATGAAGGGTCCAGTCAACCCATATGTCAAAAGTTGTTTCACTTAATAAATAAATAAGGCAAAATGTTTGTACAGTTATTTTTAATGAAAATAACTTTAGTTTAAATTAATTTTAAATTAAAAAAAAAACTTATTATCAAAACTCACATAGTACATTTTGTTATATCTAACACCAAAAGTACTTAATATTAATTCAATGCAAAATCAATTTTAATATACTAAGGTGATAATAATAAAAATATAGAAATGTCAGCCCCACATTTTCCATGCAATGGAATTTTCAGTAAATTTAGATAAATAATAAACCTTGTGTGTAAAAAAGAAGGTGGGGTTAACATTGTAATACAATTGTAATTTAGTATATATATATATATATATATATATATATATATATATAATTTAAATTAGGTTAAATATGTTTTTGTTACTTGTAAAATATTTTATTTATTAAAATAATTTCTGTAAAAATTTTCATATTATTTTATTCCTTGCAAAGTTTAAATATTTAATTTTTTTAATATTGTTAATGCATTGATTATATTATTGATGAAAATCTGATATGTTGTTTTTTTTAATCTAATTATAGATATAATTTCTTCTTATACTCCTGTGATGCTATGCCATCACAAAAACAATTTTATTTTTCAATATATTCACCTTATTACCACCTCTATCATCTTCTACTCTCACAATATTAAGTTAAAAAAAATCATATTTAGATTTTGAAGGATAATTTTTTTTATAAAATATTATTTAATAAATAATATATTTTACAAACATTTAATCTCGTGAAAATAATAATCCCACGTCACTATTTCTATTTATCTGGTGAAAATTTTCAATAAAATTAAAAGGTAGGACACAAATATATTTTACAAGCACGAAACAAACACAAAAAATATATAATAATTATTTATTAAATAAAACATTTTATAACTCCTTTAAATAAATAATATTTTAACTGTATATATGCACACAAGTTTAATAGAAAATCATATGTGAAACATGTGCTTTGATTTCCGAATTATATTCGAAAGACAAATATATTTTGTGGGAGATATTTATATAAGGTTTGTTTCTGTTGAATAAAAGTGGATGAACATAAACAAATATTAATGACATATTGAGTTTTTTTTTTTAAATTACTGTTAAAAATGGTTTTTAACGTAATTAATTGTCCTAACGAGGAAAATTATTTTCATGTACTAAAGGAGATTCATGTCTCTTGGTTCCTTTACCCATAAAGCAAATTTACTATCAAAACATACACCAAAACTTTCTGCATATAGAACATGTTTCCCACTCAATTACGAAAAGTTATTGAAAATTGTTTTCTAGTGCCACGTCTTCGAATTATTTTTCCCATATAGTTACACTACAACTTAAAATTTTAACATATAACATATGATCTTAAATTGTGACCTCAACGGTTCAACCCTAGTTAAGCTTGGCGGAGAATAAGTGCTGATCTTCTAGGAAGTTGAAAGGAGACGATCTCTCCCTAAAATTTTGTAACTCTCGTATAATTCATAATTTTGATCCCTTAAAATATAATAAATATTTAATATATTTATAATTTTATTCTCACATAATTTTGATCCCTTAAAATATAATAAATATTTAATATATTTATAATTTTATTCTCGCATAATTTTGATCCCTTAAAATATAATAAATATTTAATATATTTATTTTATATTTATAATTTTATCCTCGTTCCCTTCATCAATTTTAAATTCTTATATAATTTATGATATTGTTCTCCTCAAACTTAATGATCATTTAATATATTTAAGTATATATTTAAAATTTTATCTTTTCATCATTTCATTTTTTTTTCTTTTATATTTATTTATTATTTATTAATAATATATTATTTTACTCCAAAATCAAAACGTTAAAGATCCGCTGAGAATATTTGTTACATCAGTTCCTCTATTATTGGAAAACAAGTATTACAAAACATGAGGATGTGTCGTTAAGCATTACGTAACACAATCAACTGAAGTAACAAATATACTAATTGATTAGTCATAATGTGGACCATAGGACTATAACCACCACAGTGCCCCAGAGTGGATTTATACACAGAATTCGATTTTTTCAATGCATGATCGAATAATGCTGCAAATATATATAGACATGTTTATCTCTTATTCTTCACAAAAACATTAACAAACTCGTGGGGCCATTCAAGACTAATGCTTCCCCTTGCACATGACTGAAGGGTTATGCCGCTCTCTTTTATGGGATGAAGCAAAGTCATCATTGTCAGATTTTTTGTGTGTGATGGTCGATGTTCTTGAAATCCAGTAAAATGAAAAAGTTTATACTCCTCATTGTCATAATTAAAATTGGAATATTCACCCCAAATCAATGCTAACACTCTTCATCTATATGACGTGTGTCTTAGCTCATTTATCCTTGTACAGTAACAGCATTATGCCACAATAGCTCCATTATATATTGAGCATTGGTGACACTCTTATTGGCACAAAACACAGAACACAAAAACCATGGTGTCACCAATCATACCCTTGTCACTTTTAGTGCTCCTTTTATCAGTTTCATTTGCTAATTCAGCTTCACTGCAAGAAAGTTTTGTCCAATGTCTCAACTTGAATTCCGACTCACCATTTGCATTTGCTTCATCAATTTACACTCCAAGCAACCCTTCATTCACCAGCATCCTTGACTCCTCCGCACAGAATCTAAGGTGTTTGGTGCCTTCAGCACCGAAACCTGAGTTCATATTCACACCCTCCCGGGATTCCCATGTCCAAGCAGCGGTAATTTGCTCTAAGAAACTTGGGATACACTTTATTGTGCGAAGTGGAGGGCATGACTATGAGGGAATCTCGTATGTTTCTGAAATTGAGAGCCCCTTCATAATTGTTGACTTGGTCAAGCTCCGTGGCATCAATGTTGATATCAAAAGCAACACTGCTTGGGTTCAAGCTGGTGCCACAACTGGTGAACTGTACTACAGAATATATGAGAAGAGTTCAGTTCATGGTTTCCCTGCAGGCCTTTGCACAAGCTTAGGTATTGGAGGGCACATAACAGGAGGAGCATATGGAACCATGATGAGAAAGTATGGACTTGGGGTGGACAATGTCCTAGATGCTAAAATTGTTGATGCCAATGGCAGAATTCTTGACAGGGAAGCCATGGGGGAAGACCTATTTTGGGCGATAAGAGGAGGTGGAGGTGGAAGCTTTGGCATCCTTCTTTGGTGGAAGGTGAAGTTGGTTCCTGTGCCACCAACTGTGACAGTTTTTACAGTTACCAAAAGCCTTGAGCAAGGTGCAACCAAGATTCTTCATAGGTGGCAGGACGTGGCTCCCTTTATTGATGAAAACCTCTTCATCAGAGTCATCATTCAGCCATTCAGTGCTGGAAATAAGACTCAGAGGACTATAACAACTTCTTACAATGCTCTCTTCCTTGGTGGGGCCAGGACACTCCTCCAAGTCATGAAGACAAGCTTCCCTGAGTTGGGTTTGACAATAAAGGATTGCTTGGAAACTAGCTGGATCAAATCTGTCCTCTATATTGCAGGCTTTCCAAGTGACACCCCTCCTGAAGTACTGCTTAAAGGAAAGTCCACATTCAAGAACTTCTTTAAGGCCAAATCAGATTTTGTGAGAGAACCAATACCAGAAACCGGGCTTGATGGGCTGTGGCAAAGGTTGCTGATAGAAGATGCCCCCTTGATGATTTGGAATCCATACGGTGGAAAGATGAGCCAGTTTGCAGAATCTGATACCCCATTTCCTCACAGAAATGGAACACTATACAAAATTCAGTACCTGTCTTTGTGGCAAGAGGGAGACAAGAATGCTGCAAAGCACATAGATTGGATTAGGAGGCTTTACAACTACATGGGACCTTATGTTTCTAGCTTGCCAAGAGAAGCATATGTGAATTACCGGGATCTTGATTTGGGAGTGAACACCAAGAACAGCACAAGCTACATTCAGGCAAGTTCTTGGGGCTATAGGTATTTCAAGAACAACTTCGACAGGTTGGTGAAGATTAAGACTAAAGTGGATCCTGAAAACGTCTTCAGGCATGAGCAAAGTATCCCACCACTTCCACTCTGAATAGCAAGGGCAAGGAATGGGAAATAAGGCCCTGTGATGCTACAATTACTAGACTGGTATCTATAAATTTCTGAAATGTTTAACAACTTAATATGCTAGTTTAGAGGAAGGAGGATACAATAGAATTATGTTATTTGCTTTGTTTTTGGTCAAGTTAATGTTGTGAGATACAGATTATGTACCTAATTGATTCGTGCCTTTGTGATTTGTGTATTTCACTAGATTATGTATGAGTGACTCAAGTGTTATTTCTCTTAAAACATGATTCTCAACTCTATATATATCACTTGAAAGCAAAATTAAATTCTTGGATAGGGAAAACGAATTTCTTTCACAGTGCCAATTATTATGTTTACCAATCGATCAATATCCATATTTTTTACTTCAGCAAAAACTCACCCCAAGCTTCAAATTTGTAAAACCATTGGGATCTTACAGTTTAGGGATAAGAGAACCCTTAACCTAAAAACATCATTGCAATTTCTTACTAAACTTGTTCAATTTGCGTTTGGCATCAAAGCGAAACTTAATTAATTTCCATGCCACGAATCTTTCAAGTCATGGCAAATTCTGGCTTCGTCTCACTCTTTTTGTTTTCTTTTCTTGTTAACCTGTTTTCAAATTATATATATATATATATATATATATATATATATATATATATATATATATATATAAATTTAAATTAAGCTAAAATAAAATAATTTTTTTACATTATTTTTATTTATTAATATTTAAATTAGTCATGTAAAACATATCTAATTCCATACTATATAATCATCACTTCCATGTTAAATGATCATCGTAATTAACACATCAAAACATATCAAAGAAAACAATAAAGATAAGTTAATGTTAAAAAAAGAATCATATGTACTCTTAATATCACATCCATACTCAATAATTATAAATAATTTAACAATATTTATAAGTATACAATAAATCAAGATCATAACTCTAAGTTTATTGTATACGTCTCATGTCAGCACCTATTTACGTTGTTCAAAAGATATATATGTACTTGAGTTGGACCTAATGATTGACACATGTCACACTACCTTCTTTACGTTGATATCTTTTCATGTTGAAAATATTACTTTATTAAAAAAATTATTATCTTTTAAGAAAAGAAAATAAGAAGATATTAAGTTATTATTTTGATATAGGCGATCATAATTGAGATATTATTAATATTTGATATTTTATCATATTTTTACTCTAGATATTAATAGAGTACATCTCATTAATGGTATCAGAGTTTTAGTTCTTAAGAGAAGAATGAAAATATAAAGAAGTTTTTTACACGTTGTTATTCCAATTTTCGATGACGAACATTATGACTTATGAACTGTGAGAATATAGTTTTATCTTGAAGGATTGTTGGATTTATGCAAAGCCATAAAAGAGGAATACATCATTACATTATTGATCTGCTGTTTGAAAATCTCACCATAGCCCAAATAAAAATCCACAACAAAAGAAAAATAAGAAAGACAAAAGCGAATTCATGTTTATATGTAGGTATTTCACAAATGATTCTCACCAGAATCAAAACCCTAAAGTCACCTAAAGAAACTTGAGATTATTTTGCGAGAAGAATATGAAATATCTACAAAGAGAGACAAAAAAAGATTTGAAAGAGAAAACTCTAACAACCAATTAGGCCAATATCATTGTTAGGAAACAAGACTTCGAGGAGCAATTACTCGATAACGAATTATTAGAGAGGAAGGAAATGTTACATTAGATGTGCCTTGAGAAAGAAAAGACCGAAGATATCTTGAATATCAAAGATGAAACTCTCAAGCAAAAGGACGAAGAGTTTGAAAAATGGGGTTATGAAATTGAGAAGCTTAAAACTTAAATGAAAAACTATAAGAGTTTAAACCTACCATTTTTCTGTGTTGAAAGATAATAAAACAAAGAAAGACAAGAAGAAAATGTCTTCTTCACATTATGTTTTGTGGAAAAAAGATTAATGGAAGATTAAGAAAACAAATTTCAATATTTTAGGTTTTAAATGGAAGACTTTTAATGTAAAAAAGAAGAAGTCTTGTTATAAGAAATATCATGCTAAGAATAGAAAGGAAAAATATCAAATTCAAATAAACAAATATTACCAGTAAGGAGGAACGTTGAGAATATTACTTTATTATCTTTTATTTAAATGATATATTTTTAGAGATTTTATTATCTATTAAGAGAAGAAGATGAGATTATATTATTATTTTGATTTAGATAATCATGATTAAAATATTATTAATATTTGATATCTTATCATATTTTTACTCTTTATATATATATATATATATATATATATATATACACACACGAGACTATACATGTGCACCCCATCTTGTTAAAATTATTATTATCTAAAATTTTTTATTTTAGCCCCTATCTTATGTATTGGAACCCGTTGCCCAATGCTCTATAATAAACCTATGTGTAGTTGAGAGTGTACAAATACATCATTTGACTTCAATAAAATTATATATTTTATTTATTTTCTTTCTTTATTATTATTTTTATCAAACTAAAATAAGCTTTTGTCATTTTCTTTATTGCCCCCACTCGACTTATAGATACATAATTAGAATATATTCATTTGTCTATTAAGATTAATTCCTATAATTTTTCTAACTCAATTATTATTCATATCACAAGTTAAGTCATAAAAAATTCTTTTAATTCTTACCTATTTTCTTCCCTATAAATCTAGCATTACTATGATTAGAATATCTCATACAAAATCGCTCAATTCAACTCTCTCTCACACACACACACACACACACACACATATATATATATATATATATATATATATATATATATATATATATATATATATATATATATACCCAAAACATAAAAGTTTTATCTTTTATAATATTGATTAATCTAAGAAACAATTTTACAACAACATTCCTTTTAGAACTCTTATTTCTATAAAGTATATTTTATTGAGTGAATTATTCTCTTGCTTAAACAACTAATATTTTACTTAAGCGAAAATAAGACCAAATTAATTATCTCTCAATTTGAGAGATTTTCACTTAAATGAAATTGAGATTAAAACAATTTTATTTATTCAAGAATATTTGTCACTCAAACTACCAATATTTGCTTAATGAATTTATTACAATTAACTTTCCTAATCTTAGCACGTAGTTCTACCTAAGAGTTTTCGTTCGTTAAGTTTTAAATTTGTTCACAAAAACTCTAATAAATAAACCAAACATATCACTAAAACTTTAGGTAAGTAAAAATTCATCTTTTATCTATCTTTATCTTAACATATTATATGCAAGTCCTTCGCGCTCACATATAATTTTAACATGTAAAAAAATTAAAAATAAAATAAAATTACCTTATATTTAAATATAAAAAAATAAAATTGATTGAGATAATAATTTAAAAATTAAGAGAAATAAAAATTTTATAAAAATAAAATTTAATTAATTAAAATTTTATATTTATAATATTTAACTTAAAAGTAAACATTTAAACCTCACTTAATTAAACTATTTTTATTTTTATACTAACAAAACCTTTTTTTCTTATCAGTTTTCACTGTTTTTTTCTTCAATTGTTCTATCGAATAATTAGAGAACAAACAAAAAAAATAAAAAAAATCAATTGACATTATGTCTTGAGATATACAATTTTTTGAAAATTCGGTGAGTTTCGAAAACAGTAAAAGACAATACTCTAGTGTTTCCTCTTTATTTTCTGATTGTCACAGTTGAGATTAAAAAACTTGTAATTAAAAAAAAAGTTATTTCACTTCTTAGTAAAATTAGGCGTTTAAAGCCAAGTTTACATGACATTACTAAAAAATATCAGGAGGGGAATTAAGTATTAGTGCATAAGAAGTAACATTAATTTTGTAAAATTTTACACTTAGATTTTCACATTACTTAATCTAACGCAGGAAATAAAATCTCTTACAATAATCACACATCTAAAATTAAATTTCACTAAAATTTTTTCAATAATGTATTATTTTAAAATTGATTTTCAAATAAATATTTGCAAACAATCGATCATCTTAAACCTAATTTAAATCAACGAAGAAGTTTAGGGTATTGAAGACCCTTTTTTTTTGTTAACACTTATTTTATCCACTTTATTGGGCTTTAAAGTAAGCTTCAGCCTATGGGATCATCAATGAGCTTCATTGGGCTTTTCATTAAGATGTTATTTTTTTCTACTTCTTTTCTGCACCTCTATAATTTCTTCTTGCACCCTATATAATCCATGCAAAATGATCAAAATACCCTTTTATTAATTTTTGTTTGAAACCCTACAAAGCTTCTTTTTCAACTCATAAGATTAAAAATTATTAACTTTTTTATCTATTATTGAATACTCATTCTTATGTCTAGTAAACTAAATTAAAAGTGCACATAGAAAATTAGAATGCATTTTCAGATTCGAAAGTGAGTTCTAAAATATATTTTTGGATTAGGTGTTTTGAAATACATTTCGGATTAATTGTTCTAGAACTCATTTTCAGATTGGATATTCTGAAAATATATTCTAGATTAAAAGTAATTTTTTAAATAACTAATCTGAGATGCATTTCTAGAACACTCAATCCAAATATATATTTGGGATTAATTTTTCTAAAATTTACTTTTAAATTAAGTGTTTTGGAAATGTATTATGAATTGGGTGTTCTAAAAATAAGTTTCAAAATATCCATCTTGAAATGTATTTTTGGACAAACTAATCGTAAAAGAAAATAAATATAAAAATAAAATGTGATTTATTTTAATTATAAGAGTAGTGAAAGAAATTACGGAGTTACGTGAAGAAACAAACTTTTTTTTATTTCTTTATTTGTGAGGAGTGGATAAAGAAATTTTAACCATTAAAAAGTTATTGTTCTCTGATTGTTAATACTCGTGTGATTCCGAGTTGCATCATGTTGAGACAACAAAGAGTGAAGAAATTTAATTTTTAACAATATGTTTTCCACCCCACCCCATTCACCA